AAGAGAGAGGTAAAACTCGACCTTTTACCGCTCTCTACTTTCGGCAAAGTTGAAACCCGCGATATCAATCTGACAGGTTTCCGACACCGCTATCGGAGACCATCCCCGCTCTCTTTCAGATTTCCAAAGAACAGGTCCCGCTACATCTTGGCTACATCATAGTCTGAGTCCATGCGGAAATTATCCAAGCTGGAAGTTGGAACTGGTTGCATTTACCAAAGCTTCCATCGAATACAACAAGCTTTACGAACCGTGCCTTCGGCACGGCTGCTCGCTCCGCTCCCAGCCGCTTCTCCGGCACGTTCGACAGCTTGTTGGGGCTCCGCCCCAAACCCCGGGGGCTTCGCAACATTTGTACTTTGTTCCCACTTCCAAGAAAAAAATAAAATTACATCTATATAATACATCACATACAACTGTAAATCTGTTGGTTGGTAAAATTTGGAAGATGAGACCACACATACCATCAATCTAAGAGTACTTCAGGGTAAACAATATTTTTTGTTTCCGTGTTAACATCATTCTTGAAAAGAGCCTTAATCCGCTGGCTTGAGGTGCATCGGGATAAGGCCACATATAGCTGACCATGTGCAAAAACATCTGTCCGAAGGTCGAGGCCAACAGTGGTGACAGACTGGCCTTGTGCCTTGTTGATAGTCATTACGAAGGCAAGACGTACAGGGAATTGTCGGCGTCTCATGTCAATTCCAATCTCCTCGGCACTGGGGATGATCGTAATCCGCGGGATAAAGGCAGTTTTGCCAGCATGCTCTCCACCAATAAGTCGAATTTCGAGGACATGTGGGGACATTTTGGTGAGAATCCCTCGAGAACCATTGCAGAGGCCTTGTGCTGGATCCAGATTACGAAGGACCATGATAGGGCATCCCACCTTCAACGTCAACTTCGCTAGTGGCAATCCGGAGGCACGAATAGAGCTGGCATTTGGGACAGATCACATTCATGGGCCCCAGATCAATACACTGCACTCGAGCTTCAGTTACAGGTTTGAAATATTTTGGCAGCTCTGCAACAGGGATTGCTTGTGGGAAGTCTGGGTCTGGATCCTGCTGAGCTCCTTGTTGAGCTGGCGGCTGTTGGTCAAGATCCTGCTGTGCCAGAGGATTGGGAAGAGGCTGTATCTGTAACAGAATATTTGGTGGATGCACTGGAGGATTTTGCTGTATCTGCAAATTTGAAATATGATAAATTGTGCAGCATATCTCAATAAAAAGAACTAACCTGTACTTGTGGTGCAGGATTATTTGGCTGCTGCACTGGGCCAGGAACAGCATTCATACGCCGCCGGCGCACTGGGCCCTGCTCAATATTGCCTAGGGACATCAAGTTCCTGTATTCGCTGTTGCATTGCTGCCAGAGTGTTCGGAGTGGCCCTGGGAGGCTGTGGATCCCGCAAATTTGAGGGTCCAGCAACAGCATTCACCCTGTTCCCAGTATTGAACTGTGGAAATTCAGCGAGACGGGTCTGAACCTGTGCCAGAATATTTGGGTCTTGTCCCAAACCTTGGAACTGCCTAGGAGCATTGAGTTCAGTGATGCGCTGTTGCATTGCTGCAACCATGGCTTGGGGAAGCTGTGGAGCTTGCTGGTTTGAAGGCCCAGCTACAGCATTTCCTCTGTGAATGTTGAATTGAGCCACATGCTCTTGAACTTGTGCTAAGATATCTGGGTCCTGCTGTGGTCGAGGGGCAGGATCAAATTCTAAAGGAGTCTGTAGCTGAGCCAGACGTGCCCGTGCTCGGTTCGGAGTCAACTGCTGTACTACATTTCTGGGGTGTAGACCTTGATCTCCCAGAGGAGCCTGGATTGGACCACCACCAAAGACATCGTTCAGGGGTTGCTGTGGAACAGGAGCATTGAGAGGCCTGCTTTGAGGCACACGATGACGCTGAGGACTGTCCAGGACACGATTATCATGTTCATTCCTTTGGGCTGCAATCCGGGCTCTCTGAGGAGTATTGGGCGGAGTTTGATCCCTACTCAGAAGTCAAATATGAGTATCAGAATTACCAAAGGATAACATAAACATGCATTGCAGCAAAAGTACTAATGAGAATCAGCACAGTTGAATTAAGGCAGAAGAAACAACATACAGTGTGCTATAAGAGCAGGATAGGGGCTAATCAGGAAGTGGATCAAAGCTGCTAATGCAAAGAGAGGTTGGATGAATAGAATACAGCTGAGTGGGATTAAGTACCTAGAGCTTTTCAATGAAGGTGGTAGAAGAAGGCAAGGAGGAATGCAATGTGTTTGCCTCGAGGACTGATTTTATCGATATATTGATTTATTCCCGGTTCGGCGGACGGACGGCCTTCGGCCGAAATAAGTCGTCACCTGACGCTCACATGACTTTCACATGACTTATCAAGAAAGCTGTGCTCTTCGTGTTTTAAAGTATAGGAAGACTCTTTAGATACATCAGATGGTCTCCAGCCTCACTCGTCCTTCTCCCGTCTCAGATTAACCACCGTCATCAAACGCTCCAAAGCCGGCAAATCTTGGTCTTCCCCGACAATCTCCTGGTCCTAGGGCACATATCCGAACCCTGGGTCCATGCTCGTGTACTCGAACTGTACGTCCCTCTGGAACCCGTACTCGTCGGGAAACACCTCATTCTCGAATACAAACTCGCGCAGGCATGCCAACTCGGCCTGAAAGAGGGTGAAAACAGCGAACCACGGGCGCGGAAACACGCCATCATGGCCCCCGTTGATTGAGCAGCTTTGGAGCTCGATATGGGTGAGGGTAGCTTTGTGGCGGAGAATGAATGCGACGACGTCCGACTCGGGGAAGAATGGAACGAGGGCAAATTGGTGCAGCGTGAGGGAGATGAGCTGGGGAAATGACATGTCTGTAAAGAGCAACCTGGGCAAGCTCCAGGGGTATCTGGGGTTTTGATATATCGCAAGGCTCTAATAAGAATGGATGGGCGTTGGATCACCGGCTCCCATGAGAGGCCCGGCGATGGATCGCCTTAGAGCAGTTACCGTTTTTAGCTGGCAGGGGCGCGTTGGCGGTCGCTGATCCTGCGGCGGCGTTATCCCGCGGTTTCGTCGTCGGGGCGCGCAGGGCGCGAGCGGGGTGGCTGTACTTACCATTTTGGGTACTTTTCACCTGCTTCCTCGGGGCGAGCTAGTTTGTCAGTGCATGCACTAGACGTTTTAAATACCACATACCTCACTTCCTAGACCCTCAGCATTTGTGTGGCACTTAGGACGAACACCACAAGTCGTGCCGAATTGGGCCAAATGAGCGTGGGCTGATCATTGTTTGGACATGTTAGCATCCCCTTCCTTCTTACCTCCAGCACCATTTCGGCCCTTCCCTTCCCTCTGGCTACTCTACTTGGTATCAAGCTCACCCTGGCATCTCTGAGACCTGCCTCCCCGCGTTCCAAGCCTCGAGTGCCCCTCTTGGGCTCAAATTTACTAGCGCACTGCTCCTGGTCCGACTGCTTGCACCGGCGCCCTGCCCTTCCATTGGCCTTACCGACGACTCCCTGTCATTTAAGGACGTTGCCCACACACCCACCTCAAATATTTAGACTGTCGCTGCCTCTATGCGTCCGCTACCGTCAATTCGGCACCCCCCGCCCCGCGCCGCTTGCACCCGGGTTCCCGCGCCCGCACTACCCCATCAACGGCTTCCTGTCCTCGAGGGATCTCGCCCCCATGCGCACCTCAAATATTTAGGCTGTCCCTGCCTTTACGCGTCCGCTACCGTCGATCTTGGACCCCCTCGCCCCGCACCGCTTGCACCCGGGTTCCGCCGGCCGCACGACCCCATCGACGCCTCCCCGTCCTCGAGGGAGCTCGCCCCCATGCGCACCTCAATTACTTAGGCTGTCGCTGCCGTTTCGCGTCCGCTACCGTCGGATTTTGCACCCCCCGCACCGCACCGCTTGCACCCGGGTTCCGCTGCCCCCAGTACCCCATCGACGGCTCCTCGTCCTCGAGAGACCTCGCCCCCATGCGCACCTCAAATATTTAGGCTGTTGCTCCCTCTACGCGTCCGCCACCGTCGGATTTTGCACCCCCCGCCCCGCACCGCTTGCACCCGGGTTCCGCCGCCCCCAGTACCCCTTCGACGGCTCCTCGTCCTCGAGGGACCTTGCCCACATGCGCACCTCGAATACTCAGGCTATCGCTGCCTCTACGCGTCCGCGACCCTCGATTTTGAACTCCCCGCCCCACAGCGCTTGCACCGGGGTTCCGCCGCCCCGCACTACCCCATCGACGGCTCCCCATCCTCGAGGGAGCTCGCGTCCATGCGCACCTCCAATTATTAGGCTGTCGCTGCCTCTACGTGTCCGCCACCCTCGATTTTGCACCCCCCGCCCCACAGCGCTTGCACCGGGGTTCCGCCGCCCCGCACTACCCCATCGACGGCTCCCCGTCCTCGAGGGAGCTCGCCCCCATGCGCACCTCCAATTATTAGGCTGTCGCTGCCTCTACGCGTCCGCCACCCTCGATTTTGCACCCCCCCGCCCCGCAGCGCTTGCACCCGGGTTCCGCCGCCCCGCACTACCCCATCGACGGCTCCCCGTCCTCGAGGGACCTCGCTCCCACTCGCACCTCAATTTCCCAGGCGGCCGCTACCTGTACGCGTCGTCCATGGCCATTTCCCTCCTATCCCCGTCTTTTTTTGTCTTCTTTCTTACCCTCATTTGCTCGCTCCGTCTTAATTCACTTACCACTCACCCTAATTGTTCCCTTGCTTTGAATAAAAAACCTCTTAATCACAATTTCATTTGTCAAGTCAGACCGCAAAAACAATTCGTTCGCCAGCGCTGACAGGCGGAGTTTCAATCTTTTGATCGCGGCAACGGCAACGGCTCACCTTTTTTTTCCATGCTTTTTCTCTTCCCGCTGGAAGCACAGGTGCAAATTAGAAACGTAAGGGAAAAATAAAAGAAAGTAAGAAGTAAAATGAATCGGAAGCAGGGTAAAGCACAAGAAAAGATACAGTCGGTGGAAACACTCCTCAAGGCGGAGTCGAACCGCCGACCGTCAGATACCGCAAATTCAAAGATGCGGCAGCACTTCCAACTGCACCATGGAGGGTTATATAGGGTCGCTCTTCTACGGTCTGGGTAGCCGCTTTAGTTTCAGCACGCAAGGCAAAAAATAAAATAACAAGTCTACTCCAATACAGCAGAAACAAAATGTGAAGACAATGGAATAAAAAAGAAACCCCTGCGAGCAGACACTGCAGCTACTATCTAGACCCTCCTACCCCGCTTCCTGCAAGCCTATAAGCCCTCGGCAGATCATGGAAAGAAAAAGAAAATCATACCTTGGCGAGTCAGCACCGACATCCTCGTTCTCGTCCATCTTTCGCTTTTTCCCCTTCGCCTCCCTCACCCGCGCCTCAAGTAAATCGGCTTCCTCGTTAGGGTTCTTGGGCGCCCGCTTCTGCCTTCCCCCTCGACCCAATCCCGACGCGGCCTCCTGCTTCGCATTCTCCCGCTCCTTATTGAATCGCCCAGGGGGGCCCAATTTGGGAATGGGCGGCATGGGGGCACCGGCAGGGCGTGGCAGGCACCAGACGCCAGGCTCGGGTGGTTTTTTCGCCTTAGTTTTTTCCTTCTTGCCCTGCCCCCTCTCGAACGCCCGGATCTCCTTCATCCTGTCGTGTGGAACGCGGCCCGTCGGCGCGTCGAGCGGTAGAGGGATGACCTCGCCGTTGTCGGCGTAGGTCTGGCGGAACCGATACAGCGGTTTTGGGGTAGGTCTTTCGCCCTGACTTCCCCCTCCACCCCTGTCGGCCTCTCCACCATCGCTACCACCATCTCCGCCCTGCATCCCCCCGTCTCCCGCGCGTCCTCGTCCTCGTCCTCGCCCTCGTCCTGCGCTACCTGCCTCGCCGCAGTCCACCACCTCGCCCTGCACTTGCAATCCTCTCCCTCGTTGTCCACTTCCACGCCTGCGACCACTGCTCCTTAGCTCTTCAGCTCTTCGTCCTCCATCCGCCGCAGCTCCACGAGCACCTCCACGCGTACCACCTGCTTCACCTCCACGCGCACCGCCTGCCTCGCCTCCACGCGCACCACCCGCCGCACCTCCACGCGCACCACCTGCCTCACCTCCACGCGCACCGCCTGCCTCGCCTCCACGTGCACCACCCGCCGCACCTCCCCGAGCAGCTCCCTGCACAGCACCACGCCCTCGCGTCCCCGCTGGCTTCGGCACATTTGCCATGGGGCGCGATAAGGGAATCTCCTCCTCCACTTTGCTACCCTCTCCGCCAGCGTCGGTGCCGCTATTTGGGGCCTCACGATGAGCCAACGGCATGTCATCGCTGTCGCTGTTGTCGGTGTCCTCCTCCGCCTGCGTGCGGCTGTTCACCATCGCCGCTGAGAGGGCCGCTGTTGAAGAGGCGATTGCAGCCGTTGACGACGACGCCGTCCTCATCATCCGCGGTGGCAAAGGCGAGGTGGTCGCCATCGCGATGCGGGACCGCGCGGTCGATCGCGCCAAAGGTGTTGGAGAAGGTTCTGACGGAGGTGGCACTGGGTGTGTTGAAGAGGGCGCTGGGGGCGTCGGAGAAGGTGCCGAGGGACGTTGGGACGCTTGCGCAGGCGCAAATGCAGGACCACCGTTCGGATTCGTGCCTGTAGTTCCATAAATTCAATTCACCCAGGAAGACAAATTGTCGCACCTTGCATACCACTCAAATCCGGGCCTGTACCGCTGAAGAAACGCGTGTCGGCTGCATTCGTGTCCGGGCGCAAGACATTCGTTTCCTCAGTACTCGCGTCTGCGCAAATGCATGAGCTTCGCTCAGAGCCTCACCAAATGAATACGTACTTAGCCACCACCGAGTTTTGAGCACCGACCCATCGCGCGACCAAGGTTCAGCGGCGTCGATTAACCTCTCCAATTCTTCGGCGGTGAGCTCTTGAGGAAGTCCCACCGGTTCAAGCTCAACGGCGCTGTCGTCGAATGGCTCCTCGGGGCTAAAGTCTATACCGCTGTCCATGATACCGTCGAAGGTGTTCCAGTCAAATTTGTTGGTGTTCCAGGACGATAAGTCGGCGATGAAAGAACTCGGTAACATTTGTTCGTTCGATTCTGGGGCAGCAGGCGACGCTGGGGATCCATCTGAGCTGGAAGTGTCTGGAGCCAAAGGAGCTGGAGGAACGGAGGTGTGCGTCTGCGGCTGAGGAGGAGCGCTAGACGGCGCCAGAGCAGTCGTGTCTTTTTTCTTGGCGGGTTTTCGCTTGGGTGCCACAAATTTTGGCGGCGGGGATGGTGCTTCTTCCTGCTCCTCGTCGGACATTTGCAGCAGGTCGTCCAGGTCGTCTGCCTCAGGTAGTGCCATCGCGTCACGCTCGCTGCGAGCTGGGAAAAATGTCAGAAGAAAAATCGTAATAGTGGTAGTGCAACACCTACTGAAGCATCGCTTCAAGAACTGCGTGAAATTCACGCTCACAGCGCCTTTCCAGTCGGGATGGACCTGTTTGAAGGTGTGGCCAGCGGGGGTTAAGCCAGAAGAGAAACTGCCGGCATCGCCATCAGCGCGCGTCCACAACGCGTAACTTGGACTTGGACGTACACCTGCATGCTCAACGCCCCGCCGGCGTTGGGTGTGGGCCCTCCCACCAACGTGAATCCAACCCAGCCCGTCTTCTCCCTGAGGATCTGATGGAAACGGTCGATAATTCCCTCGAGCTGGTCCAACGACCTGCAGAGTTAATTTATTCAGCTCGTTTCTTGGACGCGACGCAACACCTCAACACAACGCTACTGACCTTTGCGCGGACTCTGGTGTCAACTTCTCCTCCGTTTTTCCTTCTAACTTCAACTGTTTAATCTTGTTGAGCTCATCCTCCAACTCCTGCTTCACCTCATCTGTCTCCTCCGCCAACAAAGTCCTACTGACCGCCCGCCTCGCCGAAAGTCGTGCAGAAGCTTCTGCGCTAAGCCGCCGCTTCACCTCCGCGGCAGGCCTCTCGCCATCGAGGGACACAAAGTCGAGGTCATCTGAATGCTTCGCATTGAAGCCCGTGACGTCGAGCCCCTCCCTCACGCGGTCGGGATACAGTTTTTGGTAGAGCTCGACCAGCTGGGGATTGCGCTGCCGTGTCTGGTCTTTCCACAAGGCTGCAGCCAGTGAGCCGGGGTCTGACTTTTTGGCTGCGACCATCCCCGACTCGCGCTGCGATCTCGTATGGTTGCGGAACCACGAGCGGATTTGCTGCGAGCGAAGGAATTAGCAAGTGAACATCACAAAACACGTCCTCTGTGACGACTGGGTATCGTCCACTTGTAGCATGGCCATAGGCCAAGTAGTCCCGATTAGGTAGTGATCTATGTTCCGCGGAACACACAGCTTTGTCGATTAGATAATGAATTTACACTCTAATGCATACCACGACCTGAGCCCAAAGCCAGAGTCGTACGTGCGACAGACACATAAATACTCACTTCGGCTGAGCAACCGTATTAACTGCTCCCAACCTCAGGGTATATGAGCCCCGCCAAGGGTGACATGGCTCCTCAGCCAGGGTTACAGGTTAGAGTTCCGCTAAGGCGTGAACTCGCCTTTATGCCTAGGCACCCATGGTGCCTAAACTACAAATACGACGACTACCGTCTTGCGAGAGGCCCTGAAATTATGCAGCCGCGTCACAGTGGAGCCCACCGCGAGGGCCTCACCAAACAAGACGGACGAGTCGTCCCGATCTCCCTCGGGCCCGGACAATCGGCCTCCAGCGCTCGCTCGATAAGCGTGGCGCTGGCTCTCCTTCGTATCCAGCAAGAAGCTTTCAACATTGGAGCATCCACTTCACATTGGCAGCCAAACTGGGAAGCTTCACACAAAACTGGATATGAAGGCCTCGTCTCAAAGATCCAGCCTCACTAGACCTATCCCCAGTCTTCTGGTGTATTGGTTGAGGCTCTACGAGACTCCCGACGCCCCCTCCCCCTTCGCTATATTTCTTTCCGGGATTGCGGCGGTTATCTGTTATCATCCCTACCTTTCTTCTTCAAGTTATTCAATTCTTCGATCTTACATGGCCGGATGCCCGCAAACGGGAACCCCTCTCCTTTCGGGCGACATTCTTGTTGTGCGAAAGGATTTCCGTGCGCCGTTTGTTCTCATCGTCCTTGAGTTCCGCCGCTAGCGTGAACTCGGACATGCGAATCATCCTGGGCCCCGCTTCATTGCGCAGGGCTCGGTATCCTCATTCATCATATGCGTACGCCGTGAGCTCCGGCCGACTTATCAATGCATGAATGTAATATTCCGAGTCACTCTTCCCGTCATATTTCTCCCTTCTTCCGGACGACGAAACAATGCACCCGACACTTCAAGAGTCAACCCCGAGCTCTTCGACACGCGGCCGAGGCGTAACACTCACTCCTACCGCTCTGGGAGTTCATTGGTGTAAAGAGGAGATTGGGGGGAGATTGAGGACTGTGGGTTAAAGCAACAAGATGAGTTCCACTTGAAGTCGCGCTCGGTGTACGAAGGAGGTAACGCGCAGCAATGAGCGCGTTGCGGAAGACGGTCCGACAGTCCGCCGCTGTAGCGGCGACGGACTCCCACGCCGTCGTCGACGTGGGGACGTTCTTCGTCCTGCGACTACCTTGTCCCTCTCTTCCTGTAATATCCGAGACAGGCAGGACTGCGGGACTCCCCTTTCATCGAATCATCCACTCCTGCTCCGCATATTCACCTTCAAGTTCTTCAAGATCGTCGCTTCAGGCCTCAAGACCACCGCATTCATTCTGGCGGCGACTTCGCTTCGCTGGGACGTTGAGTTCACCTGAAGAGGTTTGAACTCCGTCCTTCCTGCTTTCAAGTATTCCAGTGAAGACGGAGCGTCGCGCCGCGTGCACGCCGACGTCGTGAGCTCGCTGCCCGCAGCTAGAGTCTCCGTCAGCGTACGTCTCGTTTTCACTGCTCAAGCCTCGCCTCAAGCTGCAAGGGATTTTGGATTGGGGGGCAGGAGAGTATTGCCTGCGTCATGCGTTCTGCGCTAGCGCCCCTGTCGAGTGAACGACGACTGCGGTCTGCGCGCGCGCCTTGAATCTCAAGCTACGCGGCCCTCTCA